ATAGATAGATAGATAGATAGATAGATAGATAGATAGATAGATAGATATACACATACACACTAGATGCCTTTGGGGAGGTAAGCAGCTTAGAGTTGAATAATAAGAATAAATATTTCTCAACTACCCCTTGGAGAAGGATTCTGGGCAGTGAATAATATAATCAGTAAAATTAAGCATTCAAATTTGAATAACTAAAGCTAAAAAAAAATATTAAATGATAAAACACTATATATAATCACTCCTTTTGTTACAAAGTACTAAGCAGAAGACCCTGGATTCTAGTCTAGCCTTAGGTGTGAAATCTAACTGGGTGACTTTGGGCCAGTCCACTCAACCCAACCCACCTAACAAGGTTGTTGTGAGGAAAACCAGAGGGAAAGTGTAAAAATAATAAAGGTGAAATATAAAATATAGCACGAAATGTTTACAGCAAAACCTCCCATTAAAAATTTGGAGTGCCAATTCTAAATAGCCAAGTCTCCTCAGAGCCAGAAATAAACCCCCATTTCTTATTACAGATAATCAGAGTTGGAAGGGACCTTGTAGGTCATCTAGTCCAACCCCCCTATACCATTTCTGACAGAGGGCAGTCCAATCTCTTCTTGAAAGTCTCAAGTGATGATGCTCCCACAACTTCCAAGGGCAACTTCTCTTCTGTGGGTTAATTGTTCTCACTGTCACCCAAAATGGCTTATCTTGAAGGAAATAATTCCGATGACCGTGTGAATGACCCAACCCAAGTCCAGTGCTTCTCTCGGGATGAAGGTCAGCCTTCCTGACTGAGGTGGTCTTGGTCATGTGGATGGTCTTCTGAAGACTTCTTGAGCCACCTGTTGCAAAGCAGCATGGGTAGACTTCACTTTATGCCTTTTTCTCAAAGGCTTCCGGTCACTAAAAGTGACTTTAGCTCTTATGTTAGAACTTCAGCTCTTTTTTTTTTTTGGAAGCTCAGCTCTCTCTATCTCTGGTCTGCTAAGGGAAGAATCTTGGTGGGCTCCTTTCCTTTTGGGGAGGGGTCTCTTCTTGGACCCCCTCTTCTCCCTTCCAGGTCTCCTGAAGCTCTTAACTAAATTGCCCTGCGCTGGCTCCTTTTATACCCTTTCTGCCCCTGAAACCTGCTGACAGCTGATTGGTGACCCAACTTGGGGGTCTCCCCTTTTCATTGGTTCTAAGCAGGCCCATTTCATTGGCTCTCAGGCCCACTAAGTGACCAATGACAAGCCAGTCCTCTCGCATGATGCTCATTGGCTGAAAACGGCGGGGTTTTGAACCCCAGAATTTGAACAGAAGCTGGTTTTAAATGCTCCAAACAATCGATGCTTGAAATTAATGTTATTTTCTTACTATAAAACATTCTTAGAATAAAATAAACAGGGGAATTAGAAAAGCCAAATCAAGCCACGAGGTGAAAAGCTGTTTGGGCACCAATTCATGATAAGATATCAAATTTACATATGCATAGTTTCTTGTTTAGCGACCACAGTTGTGACTGGCTAATTGGTTGTTAATAGAAGCAATCTTTATATATAGTATATATCATGTTTATAAATATTTTTTTATTTATATAAAAATATATAAGGTGATATTTTAATATCTAATTTATATTTTTATACCATGCAAAAATGTGGACCTATGTTAGAACTGGAAGAAAAATAGCAACCAGTGCATCTTAAAAATTGTTATGTGTATTTCCCTCCCTTTAAAAAACAACAACAACACCTTGGGTATCTGTTTTATTATTATTATTATTATTTGTGTGTGTGTGTGTCTGTGTGTGTGTGTGTCTGTGTGTGTGAGATACAGGCACATTTAGAGGTGCTTTGTGAATTAATTAAATAAAAGATAGGTCAGGTCATCTGTGTAAGGAAGTGTACTGTTTGTTCTCTGTTATATACAGAGATTCGTCGTATTATGTTGTAGCTTGCTCCACCAAGCTACGCTAGTTTCCCTCACCAATACTGGCAGGGCACACTGTCATATACAAATAGGGAGCAAACCTCACACTCCTTTGCACTGATGATGCTACCTAGTTGGGTCATGAAATGTCTGCAGGAAAACAACCAAGTTCAGAGAGTACCGAGAACCTCACACTCCTCCTCTCCCCCTTCCTTCTTCTTCTCCTCTTCCTCCTCCTTTAATACTGATGATGCTACCTAGTTGGGTTGTGAAATGTCTGCAGGAAAACAACCAAGCTCAGAGAGTACTGGGGACCTCACAGCCCTCCTCCCCACCTTCCTTCTTCCCCTCTTCCTCCACCACCGTCTCATTGCAAACCCTACTCCCTGCTAGCACTAATGATGTTCCCTAGTTGGGTCCTGAAACGTCTGCAAGACAACAACCAAGTTCAGAGACCACCAAGGACCTCACGGTTCTTGCAGATATCCTCTTCTGTTGAATGTATTGATTGATTTCTCCAATTCCGACCACCTTTCTTTGCAGGTACGCTGATCTTTGTGGCAGGTTTCTTCTTCGCGCGACGGTCCGTTAGCCGGGTCCTCCTCCTCCGTGGCAGTCAGGAGGTGACTTTTACGACCTATTACCTCTTTGGCTACACTTCATCCTTCACAGTGCCCCTTCGCCACATCAGCTGCATGTCCCACCGTTCAGAAGTGGCTGCAATCATCCCAGTCAAGATCAAAGGGAAACCTTTTTATTTCTTGCTGGACAAACAGGGATCGATCACCAGCAACCCACTATTTGACATCACCGTGGGCGCCTATCGGGAATGGTGAGGTCATTTTTCCAGGGGCCATGAGGCCACGACCTGCCCAGAGGCTGCTGGAAGAGAGAAGAGGAAAAATGCAGACATGAAAATCCAGAATTGACAGCTCCTTCCCTGTGGAAACATTTGAGTTATATCCTCACCCTTCTGCTCTTTAAATTTAAAAAAGAAAGAAAGAAAAACCCTAAAAATAGGACACTAAGAGGGCGAGAAGGATGTTCTTTTACTCGAATTGTACTCCAGCCTGCTTGTTAAAAATATAGAAAGCCTCTGGTTTCAAATGTGTGTCGTCTCGTCACCCAAGGTGGTAGGGACTCGTAATGTGAATTTAAATAGGAATATAAATACATTTTGCCCAGCAATGCTGATGCTGTGTGTCACCTAAAATGTTGGGCGCTCATGTGTGTACTTAACGTGAATTGATATATGAATATCTTTATCAATTTTGCCCAGCAATGCCGATACAGGGTGTAAAAAAATATAGAAAGCATCTTTTTTTTCCAAATATGTGTCTTGTCACCAAGGGTGGTACTAGGGACTATTTGTCTGTCTCCTATCTTCATTTATCCCTCTATATCTAAACTATTTCTCTAGCTATCTATATAGCCATCTCATTCTATTATCTATTTTATTATTCTAAGCTATCCCTTTATATCTATCTATCTATCTATCTATCTATCTATCTATCTATCTATCTATCTATCTATCTACCTACCTACCTACCTACCTACCTACCTACTTCTACCAAACTATATCTGTCTCTATCGATCTGTGTCTACATCAAAATATCTCTGTTTATCTATCTATCTATCTATCTATCTATCTATCTATCTATCTATCTATCTATCACTCACTCACTAGCTAACTAACTGTCTAATCTTTTAATTTTAAATTTTGCCAAGCAATGCCATTAGGTCATTCTTACTCAAAGCCCTTATATATATATATTTTGTACTTTCAAAGCCACATTTAAAGTTAATTCCTCTGACCCTCCAATTCCCCCCAAAAATGGAGGAGCTTTGAGCATTTGCCAAAATACCTTCCAAATTTTTGTATTTGAAGAGAGGGAAAGAAGGTGTAAAAACCCTGCTCTGCTACCAGCAAGGGTGGATTATTTTTGGAATAATAAGGGTGCGGGGAGCCTCTTTGCCCCCAGCCTCTTTGATTTAAAATGAAGAGAAGGAATCTGCTTTAATCCTCCTTCTCTACTCCTCCTCTTTCTCTTCTCCTCCACTCCTCCTCCTAAGCATCCTTGATTGCAGCTGCCGTTGCCACGGCAACCTCAGCCTCTGCATTGAGAGGGAACCAAAATGGCGGCTCCAGGGACCGGAGAGCTGGGTGGTGGGGAGACGCCAACGGTGATTCAGGAGAGAGCGGACCCCGAAAGAGAGATGGGGCAGGAGGGGAGCCGAGGTAAGCCGTTTCACCCCTTTTTTTGCAAGCATTCACAACCTTCTGCATTTTAAAATTATAGATATATATATTTTGCATTCTCGAGGCTGGGGAGGATGGGCATGGCAGTCCAGAGGGCTGAGGATGGGTTGAGGAAATTCAAGGTCAGAAATACTTTGGCTTCTTTTCTTCTGTTCGTTGATTTGGTTGCCCCAAGCTGCAAGAAAGAGGCACCTACATTGCATAAGTCAACATATTGAATTTATATGCTGTCCATCTCAGGCTCCAAAGCAGCAGTTTTTCTTTTGTTATGTCTTTTTTTTGGGGGGGGGGAGGGGGTGTCCTTTTCTGCAAGTGAGAGGCAGCGTGAGTTGTCACTCACACAACAGCCTGACAAGGTAGGCTTAAGCCAGGAGATGGCCAGGCTTGCCCATCCAAGCAAATTCCCAGCCATCTGATGGCTTTGCACCCAGGGTGGTTTAGAAACAGAAAGTGGACCTTATTCCTTCTTCCTTCCCTCCCCTGCACCCCCCCAAAATAAAATAAATAAATCCTGATTTCTGCTCTCTTTTTTGGCACATCAGCCTTTTTTCTGTGGCACCTCTTTTTTTATATATAATGTTGACAGAGATCATTATTATTTTAAGGGAGCAAAAATGAGAATTTAGGAGGTGAAGCTTCCTCCTGGATGGATATGCACCCGTCTTTCTCTCTGAGCTTGGCCTTACCTCACAGGGTTGTGGTTGTGGGAGATTGCCAGGAGAACCAGTGGAAAAACCTTCAAAAAAAAATTAAAAATTGCTGACGGATGCAAACTATGGATAGCCTTCAGCCTCTGTTGCAATTGACCGATGGAGATTTTGTAAATGCTGATGGAGATTGTATTAGATTTATTATAGCATAAGGCAAATAATGTATAATGTATCTTACATATTATAATATTTAGATATAAATTATTTGCCTTCATTCATGAGACTTATTATATCTGCCAGCTCTAAGAGACTAAAATCCAATAGAAAGCTCAACCTGGCTTGAGGGAATAATCTAAATGTATGGAGGGAGGCAGCCTTTAATACCTTTAATAAAAATTTTCTGGTTCTCTTCGGTTACACTCAAGATTTTGAGGGGACACAGTTCTTTGTGATAACCGCTGACCTTTTTTTATTTTTGCATGGGATTTAAATCTACTTCTCTTTTTATCTTAACTTTCTTTCTCCGCCTATTTCTCTTTCTTTGGCTCTCCCTTATCCATTGTTTCTTTCTCTTTTTTCCACCCCTTTCTCATATCTCTTGTTCCTCTCTGGATTTGCTGAGAGTTTGTTTTCCTTATCTGAAAGGTGAGCTTTGGCAGGACTTGGAGTTCCTTAAGAGGTATCACCGTGTCACCTTTGACAGGGCAGAGTTCTGGCGTCATTCTGTCTTGGCTGGTTTGGTGGTGGTGGGGCTTTAGTAGAAGGTTTTATTTAAAAAAATTAAAAGAACATTAAAACTAATATAAGCTAAAAGGAAACAGAATAGGGGAAGGAAGGAAGAGGAAGGAAGGAAATGGGAAGAAGGAAGGAAGGAGCAGGAGAGGATAATGAAGGGGAGAGAAATGGAAGGAAGGAGGACGGGACGGAGCAGGGGAGGATAATGAAGGAGAGAAATGGAAGGAAGGAGGAAGGGAAGGAGCAGGAGAGGATAATGAAGAAGAGGAAGGAAGGAGGATAATGAAGGGGAGAGAAATGGAAAGAAGGGAGGGAAGGAGCAGGAGAGAATGAAGGGGAGAAGAAAGGAAGGAGGATAATGAAGGGGAGAGAAGAGGAAGGAAGGAGGATAATGAAGGAAGGAAGAAGAGAATGAGGGACGAGAGAATGGGAGGAGGGAGGGAAGAAGGAAAGGAGAGAACAAGAGGAAGGAGAGGGAAGGAAAGAAATGGAGGTGATGGGAACGGGGTTGAAAAAAGATGTAGTGTGTACTGTGAGAGAGGAAACAGGAAGGATAGAAGGAAGGAAAGACTAAAAACGAAGCAAGGAAAAGAAAAATCAGGAAAAAAGCTTCTCATTTTCATTACAGCAGTTCTAAGTACAAATATACCTTTACTTCTTACAACATAACCTCCCTTCTTTTCATAATCTATCCTATAACCGCCTGAACCATAAATCGTAAATTGATATATTTTTTTCTGTTTTATGGAAAGCCTTTAAGGCGTTGGCAATCAGTTTATCAAGGCCGAGAACTGCCTTCTCTTATCGAAGAAGTCAATTTAAGCCGTCTCAGCTAATTTCAGGAACCTTTCCTCCATTGTGGGTGGTGCCAGATCTTCAAGCCCTTGTGCCTACCACAACCTTACGGTGGTTTCTGTCAGTGAGCCCAGCTCAGCTCTGTGTCTTCGCTTGGCAGACAGAGACGGTTTGGAATTTGCCTTTAAAAAAAGATCCAGGGTGATCTACCCTGACGGAATCCAGACAGCTGCCTGGCGTAAGAAAATCTTGTACCGTTCCATGCTAAGAAACCTGATCTTCCGGTAATCCTCAGTTTATAACCATTCATTCGACCAGCAGAGTTACAACACGGCTGGGAAAAAAATGACTTAACCACCAGTCCCCAGACTTAACGACCATCTCAGGATCCCGGAGTCACTTGGTCAAAATTCGGTGACACGTGGCCACCAGCATGAGTTGCATCCGGGATCACATCATTGCCATTGGTGACTTCCGACATGCAAAATTGGTGGTGGTGGGGGGATCAGATTCGCTTAACGACCGTGAGAGACTCAGTTAACAACTTGCAGTCTTTCACTGGCAAAGAAAAAAGGTACGAAAATCAGTCGTGAACCAGAATGCCCTCGCTTAGCAACTGAATTGTAGTCGTACATCGAGGACTCTACCTGCAAACAGATCCCTCTCCAGCCGTCCAATCTGAACACCGATCCAAAGATACCAATCTTACAAATGATCCTTTTGCACAATTTCCGAATCTTCCTCAAAGTAATCTCACCCAAACAGTCTTTCGCGAATCACCCCTGAAAAAGGATCTCTAGTTGTCTGTGGTGTATATGTCTGGATGGCAACCTGTGATCAGTGCGTGATCTTTCCAAGCTTCCTAGAAATTCGAGACATTTAGTTGGGTCATCTGGGTGCAAACAGGATGGATGACCTTTTCCAGTGAATTTTATTTAGTGCAGCCGGGAAAAACAAATCCAGTCGATAAATATAGATCCTGTGCCTTGCTTGCCAGTTGAATCCACTGCAGTTCATATTCAGGAAATATTATACAGGTTAGTCCTTGACTGAAGGGCCAAAGTGGAGCCCCGAAATTAATTTGTTAAGCGGGTTTTGCCCCATTTCACGATCTCTCGCCACAGTTGTGAATCACTGCACTTGTTGAATTAGTAACAAGGTTTTTAAGTGAATCCGGATTCACAATTGGACTGCCGTTTGTCAGAAATGGTGTAGGGTCTCCCGCTTGGGCAGGGGGTTGGACTAGATGACCTATAAGGTCCCTTCCAACTCTGATTGTCTGCTATCCGATTCCTCCTTTGACATCGCTCTCTAGAAGGTCATCAAAGGGGATTACAGGACCCCGGCACACTGCAACAACAGTCATAAGTATGAACCAGTGGCCAAGCGTCTGAATTTTAAATCACGTGACCATGGGGATGTCGCAAAGTTCATAACTGGAAAAACGGTCTTAAGTCACATTTTTTAGTGCCCTTGTAACTTAAAATGGTGGTAATAGACTATAATAGAATTCTTTTATTGGCCAAGTGTGATTGGACACACAAGGAATTTGTCCCGGTGCAAATGCTCTCAGTGTACATAAAAGCAAAGATACATTCGTCAAAAGTCAAGAATCATTAAGGTACAACACTTAACGATAGTCACAGGGTACAATAAGCCATCAAATCATACTAGGAAATAGTCAATAAAAATCGTCAGGGTACAAGCGACAAAGTTACAACCATACAGTCACAAGTGGGAGGGGATGGGCGATAAGGAGTGAGGAGAACAATAATAGTAATGCAGACTTAATAAATAGTTTGATTGAGGGGATTATTTGTTTAGCAAATGATTGTTTAGTTGAACAGTACCTGTAATATATGCCAAGGAATCTATATGGGATACAGATGAACTTTTAAAGAAAAAATGAGCTGAGTTTTAAATACTTTTCCTTTCCACAAAATGCCATTAATGATAAGCAAACTCTGTAACCATCTATTAAATCTGCACTTCAACAGGATGAAATTTATCCTTTTCAGGGACCAAATTGTTGCTCCTGCATTAGTGATTTTTTTTTAAAAAAATACATTTTTAAAGGGAAAACAAAGTCATTTTCGATCCTCGCAAAAAGAGAGAGCTACAGAGTTTTTCATACAAACAGCCCAACAGATCACTTGAAAGGGGAGGAACCCCCCCCCCCAAAAATATATTTATAAACAAGGATTTGTGCTCTTAGCACATCGTGTTAAGTTGTGGCTCGTCCATCTAACTCTGATTTAATCAGATCGTGGCTTGGAGAGATGGACAAACTGGTTCGTTAAATTCATCTCCCTTTACAATCTCTTTGATGAATCTGGAAGCCCTCCTGGAGTTTTTCCCAGCGGTACAAGATTGACTGATCCTTTAATCTTGCTGTCCCACCGACAATTTTCTGTTTCTCGTCACGGGGATCTGTTTATGTCTTATTTTCCAACCCCTGGAGCTTTCTCAAGACGGGAGGAGGGAACTTGACAGATGTCCCGATTGTGTTTTTTTGATTTTATTTTTGATTCTGAGAACTGGTCTGTGTTTTGGCTGGACTGAAAGTTCCCAGAGGCTGTTTGTTTGGTGAAAATACCATGCTTGGAAGGGTTGGTGGGAGGTGATCCCTGCAGGGATCTGTAAGGAACACGGCCTGCAAATGTCGAATTTCTAATTATTAAATTAGAACGGAGTTTCTCCTTGGCAACTTTCAAATATGTGGACTTCAGGTCCCAGAATTCCTCAACTAACGTGCAGGCTGGGGAATTCTGGGAGTTGAAGCCCATCTACTTTAAAGCATCCTGGCTGGGGAATTCTGGGAGTTGAAGTCCACCCATCTCAAGGCACGCTGGCTGGAGAATTCTGGGATTTGAAGTGGGAGGGGGAAATAAAAGGGCCATTAACTAAACCTTCTCTTTGATCTTAGCCCAGAGCTCTCCAGTTTCAAGTTTATCCCTGTTGTGTTGAGGGCTAGAAACGTGTTTTGTTTATCAGGCAGGGAGGGAAGGAAGGAAGGAAAGAAAGGAAAAAAGCAAAAAAAGAAAGATAAAGGAAAGAAAGGAAGAAAGACAAAGGTAAAGGAAAGAAAAAGAAAGAAAGAATTTTAAAGCGATTGCAGCTGCAATATTAACTAACTTCTTTTTTGCTGTGGAATAATTGATTCCTATTCTTTCAAATCTTTTCCCAAATACATGTTTTTTTCCCAATGGTCCTCTTGTCGGAAAACTCTAACTGGGAAACTGCAGATTCCTGACCTAGAGGAAAACTTCAAAGTCCACAGCATGTTTTCACCTGCATTTTGGTTCCCAGCTCCCCGCTGCAGATGTTTGGGGGGGGGGGGGGGAAGGCTGTTGACAACTTTTTTTCCCACCCGCAGGGAGTTTTGGTCGAATTCCAGCCACCCCAGCTGCGGGGATGTGCTTATCTTCCACCTCAGGCCGATAAACACGAAGCTGCAATGTCAGTTAATTTTTTTTTTTCTCTCTTCCCCCAGCCTGGCTAAGATCCAGCCGAGCTCTTCAGAATAACAGGGGCCACACGCGGCTTTTAATTTCACAAGGAAAGGGATTCTTGGAATTGGGTGCGAGCGCATGGCGTAAACACAGGAGGATGGGTGGTGGGGGGAGAGAAAGAGAGGCCTCTGGTGTTTGGGGGAAGCATATTTTCTGGATCCCGAATAATCCTGTAGCCTTCCTGCTCTGTTTGTTAGAAGACAGACATTGACCAGGTAAACATTGCCATTAAAGGTGGATTATCAGCCAGTTTTTCAGGGGATGTTGAGAAATGGGAGGGAAAAAAACAGAAAACAAAATTCAGATTTGAGGATTCCAATGCCGCTGCTTTGATTTCAGATGAAAATTGTGTAGATATTTTTCTCCCATGTTCAAACCCTTGTGTTTTTCCTGCTCCGCCGTACCGAAATCAGCATACAGGTTGTTCTCGAATTACGACCAAAACTGGAACCTGGGATGTGTGCCCATGGCTATGTGAAGCACTTAAGTGAAGCTGCGGCCGTTTTTACAACCACCACCCCCGGTCATTAAACCCATTGCCGCAGTCAGTAAGTGAAACACATAGTCATTAAGCAGATTCACCTTCCCCCCACCAATGCTGCTTGTCGGATGCCGGCTGGGAAGGTCACAAATAGGGACCACGAACATAAATACATGCTTGTGGGGAAAACAGTCATACATCTGAGTTTTTTCCCAGGCCATTTTAACTTTGGTCACTAAATGAACTGTTGTAAGTTGAGGACTAGCTGTAATATGGGGAGGGGGGGGCCAAGATGGGAAATGCTGTGGGGTCAGTCCTAGCTATGTTGAGATACAGGAACCAATAATTGACTCTTTATAATAGTCTGAACTAAGGAGAAATTTCCTGACAGAAAAATTAATCAGTGGAACAACTCGCCTCCAGAAGTTGTAAATGCTCCAACACTGGAAGTTTTTAGGAAGAGATCGCACAGCCATTTGTCTGAAATGGTGTAGGGTTTCCTACTGAGCAGGGGGTTGGACTAAATGACCTCCAAGATCCCTTCCAACTCTGTTATTCTATTCTATTCTGAAATTTGGGGAACGGATTGTGTGGTGTTTGTGGGCGTGGGTGTGACACCATTGGACATTTCTTTGCTCCAATGTCTCTTAAATGGAATTTTTGTGGGGTTCCTTGGCAGAGCAAGTATATCAGGAAGATTTGCAAGCCTGTGACTCATAAATCAAAGCACCCCAAGTATACCTCACTTGTTGCACGAATTCCCACCTACGTGCAAGTTTCTTGATGCTTCAGAGCGTTGGCCCAAGCCTTAAAAAAATTGGACCGGTTGAATAAATAAACCAGGATTTAGATTTCCCTTTTAAAACAATTGCTTTGGTCAACTCCATGCTAGTTTATTAAAACTGTGGTGCAAAGCTTTGAAAAAAAAAAGGGTTTTGTTGATCCAGATCAGACAGGAATTAGCTGGCCAGATGTTTAAGGGAAGTCAAAAACGCTTAGGTTCCTTTTTTGTTTGTCTAAAAGTTGTTTATCTGCCTTGAAGCAGAGAGGGGGGAAAGGGAAGGGAGGGGGAGGTTTTTGGCTAACAAGAGTCCAGGCTGTTTAAGGTGGAAGAATCAGAAGGAGGAATGTTTTTTTATTATTATTATTATTATTTCGGCTAAGAGAAGTCGAGGGTTTGTAAAGAAGCTCAACTTCACCAGACAGAAGGATTGTCTTTGCAAAGATTTAGGGGAAGAAAGAAAGAGAACGGAAGGAAGGAAAAGGAAAGGAAGGAAAGATAGAAAAGGGAAGAAAGGAGGAAAGAAAATGAAAGAAGAGTGCAAAGAGGCATGCAATCTTTTATATAGAATCTCCTGCCTGAGAAAGGGGTTGGACTAGAAGACCTCCAAGGACCCTTCCAACTCTGTTATTCTGTTAAAATAAATCCGGATGGGTATGTGTTAGATTGGTGGAACTTCCATGGAGAGAGGCAATCTACCTCCTGCTCCTGATCCCAAGGGCTCTTGCATTTGAGGGTGCTTTTTTTAATTGTTGCTTATGGCTAAGGGGGTCTGTATCTCTACCCAGCTCAGAAAAGCTTCCCGCAGACCATTCAAAGCCGAGAACAATGGCTCACTTCTTGCCATTGTTCAAAAGGGGATGTCTGCTCCTTTTGATCCCACCACCCCCAGGAAGCAATGGCTGGTGGGGTGTGCAGTCCTGTCACACGCACACTGCAACACACCCATTTCTGGTGTGTGTTTCTAAAATCAAAACTTGAGACTGACAGCAAGAACAGAAGAGTTTCAATGCTTTGATGATATTACGGTTTATTTTCTCTTTAATCATGTATCTCAGCTTTTGGCAACTTTCCGAGAGGTGGACCTCAATTCCCAGAATTCCCCCAGCCAGCATGCTTTAAGTTAGCAGAACTTCAACTCCCAGAATTCCCCAGCCAGCATGTTTTTTTTAAAAAAAAAAATAGGTGGACTTCAAATCCCAGAATTCCCCAGTCAGTGTTCTTTAAGATGGAAGAACTTCAGGTCCCAGAATTCCATAACCACCACGCTTTCAACTGGATGGACTTCAACTCCCAGAATCCCCCAGCCAGCCTGCTTTAAGATGGGAGAAATTCAACTCCCAGAATCCCCCAGCGTCCACTCAAAGTTGCTAAGGTTGAGAAACGCTGCTCTGTAGCAGATCTGGAGTCTCACGGGAGACTTTCTTGCCTGCCAATCATTAAACTCTGGTTTAACCATTAAACCAGAGTTCCCGGGTCCAGCGAGACTTTTAAGCGCCTATCCATCTTCAAGCTTCACGGAGCTGTCATTTTGAATGTGACCGAAAAGGGAAATTCTGAAATACTTGGAAAGTCATCGCCTGCTCATTAACGGCCATTAAACCGACATTTAAGGTTAGCTTTTATCCAAGGGTTAAAAATTATTCTATTTCTTTTTTTCTCTCTCTTTTTCTAAAGGGCCCCCAACCAGCACAGCATAGAAAAATAAAGTAGGGTTATTTGAACACCAAAATGGTTCCCCTTCACGAATAATCAGAATTAAGCTTTGAACATCGGCTTCTCCAAATTTGGCCACTTTTTAAAGACTTTGCGGACTTCAATTCCCAGAATTCCCCAGCCAGCTTTAAAAAGTTGCCTAGGGGATTCTGGGAATTGAAGTCTACAAGACTTCCAAGCTGCCAAGTTTGGAGACCTGTTTTAAACACTTAAACCACCTCCCCACTCCATCAATTGCCCGAAGACTACAATTCCCAAAGTTCCCAGCTATCCAGGGGGTATTCTTCTCTGCCAGGGGTTGAAACTATCGGCAAGTCAGTCACCCCCCCTTCATCCATGCCCCCCCCAAAAGAATGGAAGATGTTCATACCAAGTCTGCTGATATAAAGCCTCCACGTCTAGGGGCAGTCTACCTTTGCCCAGGTAACCAACACCAGGATTTGACCCCCTTGGACAAAGCCAACGCGGTTGCAATGTCCCAAGCGAGAGAAGGGAAGGAAGGAAGAGAAGAAAGAAAGAGTGCAAAGAGGCCTGCGATCTTTTATATAGAACCTCCCGCAGCGGGTTGGACTAGATGACCTCCAAGGTCCCTTCCAAACTCTTTATTATTCTGTCAAGCGATTCCTGAGAGGCGGGGCCTGGTGGGCTCTGGTAGAACCTCCCCATCCAATGGAACTCTACCTGGACCCATCCTACCTGGGCTGAGCGTGGCAAAGCCCGGGCCCGACGGAGCTCTGATCCACCTTAAGGGAGCCCGGGAGGCGGGTCGCGGGGGTGGGTTGGGGGCGGAGGCTCTGGCTGGCTGTACTTGAGCTGCCGGCCGGCGCGATCGGGTTCCCAGATCGGATCTAACCGGATTCTCCGCGGATCTGCAGGTCGGAGCCAGCCGGGTTGCCTCTTTGTTCCCCAGGTAGAGTGCTTGGAAAGGGGACCGAGGCTGGCCGGGGATGATGGGAGGTTGGTAGGGGCGACACACACACAAAACACACACACGATTCCTTTCTTGCAAAGGGATCGATTAAAAAAGAATTTGTAAAATCCACCTTCCTCTCTGGAAAAAGATCGCTAGGGTTCCTCGGCCCATATTCCCCCATCCCCTTTCAAGATGGGATTTGTGGTCAAGCCCAGCTGGGGGGGCGGGGGGGGGGGCAAGCTCAGGAAAGGTTTAAAGTAGACCAGCCTGGATCCCGCCTTTCCTTTAACGCCGAGATCTCCCCGCAGTAAGAAATCGAGTGCTGAAAGGCTCTCCCCTCAACTTGGAAAAGTAGCTCCTCAGGCTTTCCACTTCTAACCTCTTGGCCTCCTTTCCGCAGGCGACAGCATGAGCTCCCCAGCCGTGACCCCAGAACTGGACATGAAAGACGTGGAGCTGAACGAGATGGACCCCGAAAAGCAGCCCATGAACGCCTCCTCGCCCCTGGCCGGCTCGCCGGGCAGCCTGGGCGAGAAGAACGGCGTGGTGAAGGTGAAGATGGAGGAGGAGGAAGAGGAGGCCGAGATGGCGGCCAAATTCACCGGCTTGTCTAAGGAGCAGCTGCTCCAGGTAGCCGGCACCCCCGGCTGGGTACGCACCCGCTGGGCCCTCCTGATCCTCTTCTGGGTGGGCTGGCTGGGCATGCTGGCGGGGGCCATCGCCATCATCGTCCAGGCTCCCCGCTGCAAGGATCTCCCCAAGCAGGACTGGTGGCAGAAAGGAGGCATCTACCGGATCCTGGAGGTGGAAGGCTTCCAAGATTCGGGCAGCGATGGCATAGGTGACCTGACAGGTGAGTTTGGGGCTGAGGCTGATGGGGGTTGTGGTGCTAAAGAGGGCCAGACACACACACACACATACTCTGTGTGTGTGTGTGTGTCTCTGTCTATATCTGTCTCATATAATGTAATAAATATATAAACCAACCTGCTCCAGAATCTAGGAGCATGACAAATCAAGTGGGTTTTTAAAAACCCACTTTATATATGGATTTATATTCATTCATTCTCTCTCTCTGTCTCTGTCTATATCTATCTCATATAATCTAATAAATATATAAACCAGCCTGCTCTAGAATCTACCCACTTTATATATGGATTTATATTCATTCATTCTCTTCCTCCCTCCCTCTCTCTCTTTCTCTCTCTCTCTCTCTCTCTCTCTCTCTTATAATATAATAAATATATAAACCAGCCTGCTCCAGAATCTAGGAGCATGACAAATCAAGTGGGTTTTTAAAAACCCACTTTATATATGGATTTATATTCATTCTCTGTCTCTCTCTCTCTCTCTCACTATAATATAATTATAATATAATTAAAATATAAATATAAAACCCAACCTGCTCCAGAATCTAGGAGCGGGACAAATCAAGTGGATTTTAAAATAAGTGAACCTGGAGACCCTCCGAAGGGTCATTTGGAGACTGGCCACTGCTGGTGGGGGGAGAAGCTGTGGGGGGGTGAGGGGGGGGGGGGCGTGGGGGGGGGTTGTCCCGGTTCCAACTTGAAGGGTGGTTGAAGCATGCCGCTCTGTGCCCAAAGCCAGTTTTAGCCGGTTTGAGCTTCCTGAGTAATTGCTGACTGGGGTTTCATCAGTTCTTGACGTCAGGCGAAAAACTGACTCAGCTGCTGGCTGGTTGGGTTCAAGAACTGTGTAGCTTTTTTTTTTCTTCTTCCCACATTTCTTTCCTTTTTTTTTTTCTTTCATTCTTCCTTTCGTCTCATTCCTTCCTTTTTCCCTTTCGTTGGCTTTCTGCCTTTCCTCTTTTTTCTCATTCCTTTCGTTCTTTTTTCTCTCTCCCTTTTCTTCTTTGGCTTCCTGCCTTTCCTCGTTTTTCATTCCTTCTTTTTTCTTCTGTTCTTTTTCTTTCCGTCTTCCATCTTTTTTTCTTCCTTTCATCCACTTTTTTCTTTCCTTCGTTGCCTTTCTGTCTTCCTGTCTTTCTATCTTGGGTTTTTTTTTTCTTTTATTGTCTTTCTTTGTTTCATGGTCTTTCTCTCATCCTTCTCTCTGTCTTTCATTTTACATTGTCTTATCCCTTTCTTCCTTTCCTTCCTTCCCTCCTCCCTGCCTTTCCTCCCTTCCTCCTTTCTTTCCTCCATTCCTTCCCTTTCCTTCCTTCCTAAAATTCTTATGACTTTTTTTCTGCTGAATTGGTGTCCCTTTGACCCTTGGCCCAAACTTTTGGGGGGGATTTGCTCTGATGTTGTGAAACTCCACAAACAGTTGTTGAGCCTGTGCAGGGACTAGTCAGTTTCTCTGAAGATTTTCCCTCATCCTCTGCTGACATCTCTTACTTCGTAGAGTTTCAACCTTCCAAAAAAAAGAAATATTCCACAATAAGGACAACCCAGGCAGGAAAGCAGCAAAGCCGTGGCCATTAAAAATAAAACAATTACTCACTGTCTTAAGTCTTGATAAGTTTATATGTTTTACTTGAACTCAGCAGTAAAAGCCATTCATTGCCGGCATATATTTTTTTTTCTAGCCTGGCTTGAGGACTAGAAGCTTGAGTTGTTCTTCCTTGTAACATCCTTGTAACATTCCTTCTAACATTGCCAGCATTTTTTTTTTCTAGCCTGGCTTGAGGACTAGAAGCTTGAGTTCTTCTTCCTTGTAACATCCTTGTAAAAGTAGAGCAGCCTTGTTGCCAGTGTTGCCAAGGTTGACCCCTGGGTGTAAAGAAGTTCAAAATAAAAACAAGGAAATGGGATGACCCTTGACCCCGTTGGATGCCCACAACAACAACCTTGTGAAGTAGGGCAGGGCTGAGAATAAGGAATGGTTGATGCTCTGCCCGCTCATTTTGCCCCGGAGCTCCTTAACCACTGACCCATATTGGGTCAGGACTTGTGGGTTTTGAAGCGGAGGCGCTTGGCAGGATGGATGCCACGCCCAACGCCAAATTCAAACCAGTCCAAACTTGATAATAGCCCCAGTCATACAACAGATATTTTGACTGGGTGATGGAAAGGAAAGATGGCTGAGACTCGAGGCATGGAATCCGGATTGGTGCATTTCTTAGGAGCTGAGCCATTACGGAAAGTTGAGGTCGTCGGGGTTCCGGGTGGTCATGCAATCCAGCCCCCTGCTCAAGGGTTACAAATTCACCCTCTGATGTGCCTTCAGGAGGAAGTAATTTTCAGCTGGATTTTTCTGTTTTTTTTAAAAAAAAAATTCCCACCGCCTCCCACAGTGTGATGGTGCAACCTACACTCAGCAGGAACCCGCTAAAGCAATTTGCAACAAGCCAACCTAAGTACAGATCCTGGGAAAAAATTGATTTATGCAATTCTGTTTTCCTGTCTTTTGTTCACGAGGTTCTTCCCATGCCCCCTTATAGCTCTAAAACACGAAAAAAAAAATGGCTTTCCCTCCTCTCTGACTTCCCCTGCCCACATAGCCCCCAATTAAAGTACGGGCACTCCTTGACTTTCACCAATATTCGTTTAATGACCGTTTGAAGTTACGACTTCAACCCTGAAAAATGTGGCTCGTGATCATTTTTCACACTTTAAGACCATTGCAACATCCCCATGGCCACCTAATCAACATTGGCAACTGACTCACGTTTATGACCATTGCCATGTCCCCTTTTGTGACGTCCTGACAATCCATGGGAAAACCAGATTCACTTAAACAACCGTGTCACTAACTTAAGAACTTCAATGATTCGCTTAAACACCGTGGCAAGAAAGGCCATAAAATAGGACACATCTCACTTGAGGATAGAAATGTTGGTCGTAAGTGGAGGCTACCTGTATGCTCTTGAAGAATGAGATGGGGTGAATACTTAGAATGTTTTGCTGAAAGAGTGAACTTGCAAAGGATAAGAATGAAAGAATCTCTTTTCAGTTCCTTGTGTGTCCATTCATACTTGGCCAATAAAGAATTCATATTCTATTCTATATTCTACCCTATTCTCTACTTCTTATTCTATTCTATATTCTATTCTATATTATATACTCTATTTACTTATTCTATATTCTATTCTATACTCTATTCTCTACTTCTTATTCTATTCTATATTCTATTCTATTCTATATTCTATTCTATTCTATTTTCTATTCTATTCTATTCTATTAAGAGGAGCATGCTACGGCCCAACCTTTTCTCCCCATTACAAATTTAATTTCTTCCCCTCCTCCGGTTTAACAAATCCTTGATGGATCCAAAGTTCAATGCTCCGCAATTCCTCTCATCAAAGTTGCTGTAATTTGTTGGGGCAGGTTTGCTGGGGAATGCAGTGAAGGAGGGCAAATATTTATAGAGAGCCCGGGAGGAGAAAAAGAAAAGAAAAAATAAATAAATCTCCTCTTTTGTACCCTGGAAGCTAACGCGAGTTTCCTCGCTGAATAAATTCTACGCCTCATTACCTTTTGGATTAAATGCAGATCACGGCAGCCAGTAAACGGTTCAGCGGAGCAAGTTAATACGATTAAAAAGAAGGGTCGGAAACAACAATTGTTAATTCAGACTGGCAATGTGTAACCCTGAGCAAAGTGTGGAGCCTGGATGTTTGCACGCACAGTTTGTACAAGACAATCTGGGATGCTGGCCAGGAACAAAAAAAAATTTCTCTGCCAGTTCTGGGTAGAAATGGGTTTACCGGTAGTTCTTGACGTAGGACCACAATTGAGCCCCAGAATGTCTGTTGTTAAGTGAGGCCTTTTGTTAAGTGAGTTCTGCCCCCATTTTACGACTTCTCTGGCCACCGTTAAGTGAATCCCTGCAGTTGATAAGTTCATAGCAACATGTTTGTTAAGTGAGGATCAGTCATAAGTCACTTTTTTTCACTGTCGTGTGTGATAACCCGGGGCGTGGCACAAAGGCAACACAGTCAAATAATCAGTAGGAATCCCTTTATATCTCCAACTTTGCCCCCAATGTCCAGGTTACCTTCTGGCTGGAGAAAAACTCTCCCAAGAACAGCCTTTAGCTGCAGAAAATTCAGTCCAAAACAAGGTCAACACAAACTGTAACTTAAAGTCCAAACAAACCAAGCTGAAGTAATTAGCTTGACAGGGCAGAGGAAGAATTCCAGATGTGAAGGCATGGCAAAACTCACACAGTTGGGAAGACACCTGGAGCACAAGTAAGCCACAATGATACAAGATAAAGTCACGTTTGCTCCCAACACTTTGCTGTAAGCAGCTTCCTTTTTTATACACTGTGTTCCCAGCTGCAGCTAATGAAGGGAATCAGGACCCTTTCCTCCCCCATAAGCCACGCCACCCATGTTGCTCTCTTCTCCGTTCCTCCCTGCGTGGCCTAGGATGAAGAGCGGGTGGGCCTGGGTCTTCCTCTCCCTTGTTCTACCTCTCCCCTGCTCTGCCCAGCTGGACTTTGCCCTTCCCCAGTTTCCTCCAGAGCCAACAGAGCCACACTCCCACTCCCTGTCAGCTGTTCGGCTTCCCCCTCCAAGTCAGATTCCCGTGGTAACTTTGAACGGTCACTAAATGGAATGGTTGTAAGTCAAGGACTGCCTGTATCGCCTCTTCCCCTCGAATTTAAAAAAATGGATCTTATTACGGATTTTGGGGAGACTTGTCTCGAGAGGCGGGAAAAAAACTTGATTTTTTTTTTTTGGCTGCATTCTGGTAAACTTGGTTTCTTTTCTCTCTCTCTCTCTCTCTTTTTTAGGGGTGAAGGAGAGGATGAATTATTTAAGCACCCTGAAGGTCAAAGGTTTTGTGATCGGGCCTCTCCATGTCAATCCGGAGGATCAGCCGTACAGCACCAACTTGCAAGACGTTGACCAAAAATTGGGCACTTTGCAAGATTTCCGGGACGTTTTACAAGCTGCCAAGAAAAAAAGTAAGTGGGGAAAAATATATTTAAATATATGCATTTAATAAAGTGTTTCAGTATATGTATACGTGTGTGTGTGTGTGTGTACATACATTATATATATAAAAAACCCTTTCCAAGGGTGCCTAAATATCTACCAAATATTGCAAACTGAAAATAAAGAGGGAAAGAATCTAAACTCCATTTTTCAAAACATTTTTTTTTTCTTTGTTTCTTTTGTTAGCAACAAGTAACACTAGCAGACCTTAGTATTAAGTAAAACAAAAACTGTTATTATGTAATGAAATATTTTAACCTGCCTAGAGTAGCCCCACAGCCAGATAAGAGGCAAAGAAATTTAACGTATAAATAATGCTCTGGACAGGTGTGTGTGTGTGTGTGTGTGTGTGTGTGTGTGTGTGTATTACTCTATTTATCTGCTACTCATCTCGCTGTCCAGAGCGGTCCAGTTTAAGCCAGCATAGGTTGGTCAACACGACTCTTTTAAAATCCATAGTTTAATGTTGATACAGACTTTTCTTTTTGTTACTTTTAAAGGTTTTGGTTAGCTAACTCATCGCTGTGTTAATAGAGCACTTACCATCTTTTATCTTTTATTTGTTTAATTGTAATTTCTTTGTGGTGAGCAGGCTAGAGTCATTGAGACTCAGGTGATGTAATAGTAATAATAGTAAGAGTATTACTAGTAATAAGTATTATTGCTGCAATAATAATAGCAATGACAATAATAGCAGTAATAGTAGTAATGTCCTTTGTTAGGACTTGAACTGTTAAGATTTACCAGTCCCAGATGTGATTCAAATTGAAGATTAAATCAATAATAATAATAATAATAATAATAATAATAATAATAATAATAATAATAATAATAATATTGATGATGAAGTTTAAACATCTAGCTCTGCAAGGAACTGGTATAAGGATAATAATCTGGTAATACTGTTTATGTACCACTGTGCCCAAATAGCATTTGTTTTGCACCTTACAATACAATAAAACAATATTTATTTATTTTTGCCAGAAGAAGGAAGAATAGTTTGGAGATGGCACTTGTTATGCAATTTCATGGAAAATATTCCTCTTTAATTCCCTTCCCATTGTCCAGATTTATCTTCTCAGTCAGCCTCAGATGCTTTGTAGGTTCTGAAGACAGCGAATAAACAAGGAAGCGTCAGGCCTATATATTTCACAACTACGGCTGTGCAAATATTAATGTAATTTAATTTTAAACACCCACTTAACCAATCCTTTGTCGGTTAACTCATCCTAGTATTATGTAGGTTAGAGCTCAACCTGGAATCTTATTTCTGTTTTGGCTCTTTGGGCCTGCCCCAAAATATGGAAATAAAAGGTTAAAACAACAATTGAATAAGGTGTGACTTTTGCAGGCTTTGGAGTTAGGGCTGTTTTTTCACACTTACGACAGTTGCATCCTCCTCCCCCATGGTCACATGATCAGAATTCAGGTGCTTGGCAATTGATTTCTATTTATGTGACTTTTGTGACTTTCTGGCAAGCAAAGTCCATGAGGAAGCCAGATTCATTTAACAACCGTGTGACTAGGTTAAACAACTGAGGTGATTCACTTAACAAGGAAGGAGGGGGGAACTCCCTTAACCACTGTCTCGCATAACGGCAGAAATTTTTGGACTCAGTTGCGGGACATTAAGCCAGGGATGACCTGAGTAGAATTTTATGGAATGATTTGTTGTGTGAAGTAACATGTCTCTCTTTTCAGATATAAAGGTTATCTTAGATCTGACCCCTAACTATCATGGCCAGTTACCCTGGTTTAGCCGAGATGTATGGCTTCAGGGGGATTTCCAGAATAAAATGAAAGTAAGTGAAGGAAAGAGTGTCCCCCCCCAAAGAGAAAATATATAAAAATTTAAAACAATTCCCTTTTAATAATTGAATCATTTAAACAATGCGGCCAAAAGACGAGCAGAGGTAGATGCAAGCATTTCGAATCGACTCATCAGTACCTACATTACAATAACGTGGTTAAAATCAGCCTCTAATATAAAAGCTAGCAAGAGCATTAATTTTTGCCTAGAAAATAAATATAATCAGGAGGTTCTAATCAGGGGATGTGCCGTTAATACAAGTAGCCCTTGCATTTACAACTGCTCATTTAGTGACTAAAATTGTGACTTATGACCGGTCCTCAGAGTTATGACATTGCAGTATTCCCCACTGTGATCAAATTCGGACTCTTACATGTATTTTCAACGGTTGCAACATTTTGAGATCCCCCAATGGCTCTTTTTGACTTTCCCAACTGGCTTTTGATGAGCCAAGTCCAGGAGGAAAGCCGAATTTGCTAAAAAGGCCGTCTGGTTCACTTTCAGAACTGCCATGACCCGCTTAGTGGCCGTGACCAAAAAGGTCGCAAAATTGAGTCCGACTCATGTCACGGCTAGGGTTGAGGGAGGGTCTTGGCGGCGATCACTGAGGACTATTAACCTGTCTCTTTCTTTCCTTGCCTACAGGAAGCAATCCAGTTTTGGCTGAGGGAAGGAGTGTCTGGAATCCAGATCGGAAGCGTCGAGCATTTGAATGTAAGCAGATCCCCTTTCCATCAGACTTTAGCAAAGGCGGGGAGTGGGGGGGTGGCATTATTTAGGCTGGTCCTGACTGCTGTCCCTTTTTAATTTCTTTTGGGGGGGGGGATTAAGGGAGGCCCCTTGCAAGGAGAAGAAAGTAGCGGTGCTAAAACCTTGTGGGGGAGGCTCCAGACTCAACCAACACCTTTCAATTCCATTTATTCGACAGGATTCTCAACTCTTGAGCGAGTGGAAGAACATAACGGAACAAGACACTGTTGACGATCAGGCCAGGTGAGTAAAAATGGGCATGACTTTCTTAACAACTGTCTTACTTTTCTTTCTTTCTTTTTCTCTTTCTTTCTCCTTCCCTCCCTTTCCTTTCCTTTTATCTTTCCTTTTTTCCTTCCTTCATTCCTCCTTTCCTTTATTTCTGTCTTTCCTTCCTTCCTTCTTTCCCTTCTCTCCTTTCCTTCCTTTTCTTTATCTTTCCTTCCTCCCTTCCCTCTTCCTTTCATTTCCTTCCTTCCATTCTCTTTCCTTTCTTTTCCTTCCCTCCTCCTTTCCTTTCTTTTATTTCTGTATTTCCTTCCTTTCTTCTTTCCCTCCTCCCCTCTTCTCCTTTCCTTTCTTTATCTTCCCTTCCTCCCTTCCCTCTTCCTTTCATTTCCTTCCTTCCTTTCTCCTTCCTTTCTTTTCCTTCCCTTCCTCCTTTTTTCTTTCTCCTTCCTTCCTTCTTTCTCCCATTACTGTCCTTTTCATCCTTTCCCACTTAGGCATGGAAATTCTGCTCCCACTTGTGGTCGTAAGTCGAGGACCAGCTGGATGGAGTCAGCCACCTTCTCTCTTCTTCTCTTCCAGGGTACTGATCGCCATGACCAGTCGTAACGATGCTCGGGGGATTTTCTCACTTATGAACGAAACCACAGGGGTGGACATGCTAACCAGCCAGTATCTTCAGGAACTGGTGAAACCTGACCAGAATGACACCACCACGCTGGGACACACAGCCCAGAAACTGATCAAAGACTATCTCCAAGAAGCAGGAAGCCGGTGGCCCAGCTGGAGCGTAAGTTTCCAGCTGTAGGATCGAGTTGTGATATTTAAAGGAGAATATTTGTGGCTTACAGTTGAAAATTGGCATCTTTGGTACTTTCTCAGCTTGGGGAGTTTTTTTTTCCTTTTTTAAAATCAAGTTTTTTATTTATATATAAATATTTTGAAGACAGTGTATTGTCCGGGCTATTTGTTTTACACACACAAAAAAAAATGAAAAAAAAACAGATATGCTGATAGTAATAAGAACCTCGGTGGCGCAGTGGTTAGAGTGCAGTCCTGCAGGCCACTTCTGTTGACGGTTGCCTGCCTGCAATCTGGCAGTTCAAATCCCACCAGGCTCAAGGTTGACTCAGCCTTCCATCCTTCCAAGGTGGGTAAAATGAGGAGCCAGATTGTTGAGGGCAAGAGGCTGACTCTGTAAACTGCTTAGAGAGGGCTGTAAAAGCACTGGGAAGTGGTATATAAGTCTAAGGGCTATTGCTAATACATGTAATAATTACAATCATACTTATATTAGCTTATTTGTGATCATATTAATTGTACTAGCAGGCTTATAATTATAAACAACATTCATATTTTACTTACGTATAACAATCATCTTTCTTCATCTAATTTCTACCTCTTATCTCTTAGCTTGGTTATTTTTTGTAGACGTTTCATTACCCAACTAGGTAACATCATCAGTGCTATAGAAGGGAGAGAGGTTTTCTAGGAGGAGAAAGACTGTAGGATCCTTGGTGCTCTGTGAGCTGGGTGGTTTTCTTGCAGAAGTTTCATGACCCAAACTGGGTCATGCTAGTGCAAATTCCCTCTGTGCCTCTTGCATCCCTTCATTAAGTTTTACGCACACTTTTGGAACACCGACACGACAATGTGTTGTTTTACTGAGGTTGGTTTTTTTTTCCGCTGGGATGCTAACGGTCTCTTTTTTTTTTTTTTTTTCCCTGCAGATGGGTAGACCGTATCTTGGACATTTGGCCAAATCCATGGGGGAGCAGCTGCTTCGCCTCCACCATCTACTCTTCTACACTCTTCCCGGGACGCCCTTCACAGATTTCGGAGATGAAATTGGCCTATGGGACATGCCGGGAGAGGTAAGATCAGCCATAGAAGGAGTCAGGTGGGATGGGCTCGTTAGGATGATAGGGAGCATGTAAGTCTGTGTGCTCGATGATTGGGGTGTGTGTGTGTGTGTGTGTGTGTGTGTGGTGGAATATTTTGCCCATCAACAATCCTCTTCATTTCTCCTCCAGCCTGCAGCATCCAACATCACACATATGCAGTGGGACAACTCGGCAACTTACGGATTCTCCAGAGGGGCACAGCAGCTGGCTGAACCTGAGGCCAGCAATATCACCGTGCAGGTAAGAAAAGGCTAATTTTTCAGGGTAAAAGGAACGACAAACATTTGGGCTAGAATTTGAGGCCAACAGGATAGAAAGCGGGAGTTGTAGTTCTGCCTTAGGGATGGAAGCCGGCTGGGTGACTTGGGTCCAGTCACCAGAAGACAGTGAATTCTAGTCCAGCCTTAACGATGAAAGCTGATTGGGTGACTTTGGGCCGGTCACCAGGAAACAGTGAGTTCTAGTCCCATCTGAATGCCGGCTAGGTGACTTTGGCACAATAACTAGAAGACAGTGAGTTCTAGCCCAACCTTAACTATGAAAGCTGATTGGGTGACTTTGGGCCGGTCATCAGGAAACAGTGAGTTCTAGTCCTGCCTTGGGCATGAAAGCCAGCCAAGTGACCTCAAGCTAGTCCCTCTCTCTCAGGTCGATAATAATAATCATAAAATAGAAAAAATATCGTAAAAAAGAAGATGCTAAATTGCTCAGGGACTTTAGAATTCAAACAGACACCTGCCGCTTAACACCCTGAACTTAAGAATTGTCGATAAGAAAGACAAAAAGGTCTGGATGTGGGACGTGGCAGAATAGAAAAGAAAGAAGTGGAGAAAATAACAAAATGCAAAAACCTGCAAAGAGAAGTCGAACGACTAGGGCAAAAGAAAGCAAAGAATGGTCCCTTGTAGCAAATAGGTGCTTTTGAGTGAATCCCAAAATATCTGGAGCGCCACTTAAACCCCATGGGCGTTGACAAAACCCCCATCGGTCAATTGCAAAAGGCAGCTTGTCTCGGAACAGCTTCTAGGTGCAGGAAAGCTGGAAAAATATTATAATTTCTCTCTCCCCCCGCCGCCTTGTTTTTCTTTTCCAGGCACAGCAGGGCCACAAGGGGTCCATCCTGACCTTCTTCCAAGAGCTGAGTGAGCTTCGAACCAAGGAACGCTCCCTTCTGCATGGCGACTTCGCCTTAGTGCAAAGCTTGAATCCGTCCGTCTTCTCCTACCTTCGGGTCTGGGACCAGAACAAGCGGTTCTTGGTGGTGCTCAACTTCGCCCGCCAGGAGAGAACCGTCTCCCTCGTTCACTCTCACCTTCCGTCCCAAGTCGACGTGGAGCTCAGCACCCATCCCAGCCGGGAGGAGAGGCAGCTGAATTTGCAGAACCTCAAGCTCCTTCCTTCGGAAGGGCTTCTCCTCAGCTTCCCCTACGTGGCCCTCTAGTCGGTCTTCTCCTGAGGCCGCCTGGCCCATTTTCAGCAGGAGGTGCCTCCCAAAGAAGACACTCCAGCCAAGGATATCTTTCCTGAACTTACTAACGTCCTTCTTCTCTATCTACCTGTCTTTGCTAACCCCATAGCTCAGCCTTTCCAGGCCCCAGACTCCAGATCCTCACAGCCAGCTGGCCGGGAGAAAGTCTGTGTGGTTCCTAAACACCTTAAGAGGCTGAAGTTGGCCGAGGTCACCTCTGTTTCCATGAACATTCCTGGAACTGCCGATTATTTCCCCCTGATATATATATATATATATATTTTGGATATTGGCAGGTCATCTCTGTGACAAAGGTAGATGTGAACCTCCATTCTCTCTAGCTGGAAGGGATGGTTCAACGAAAGGATGGGCTAAATTATAGCAGTGTTTCTCCATCTTGGCAACTTGAAAATGGATGAAATTCCAACTCCCAGAATTCCCCAGCCAGACGTTGCCATGGTTGAAATACTCTTAAGCCCAGAGTGAAACCTTCGTGTCAGTCTGGTACTAACACACACACACACACAAACACGCTTTGGGCAAAGAGGACCATGGATTCATTTTCCTGGATTGCTTTGCCTATCCCATTTTGAGTTGTAGTTCTGCAGTTTTCAGTTCTACAATCTTTTCCTGATCATTAGTATGATTTTTTTTTCCTGTCGGTGTCTGGCTCCCTTGAAGATATTCTATCAGCTTAACAAAGTGTGCAAGCTTCCTATGTTTTGCGGTGGAACAAGTTTTAATAAATGTCTCTCTTCACTTTCAGACTCATCTGGTTTCTGTTGAGGAGGGTAGTGTCTAAGGATACGTGTCCCATCATTTTAAATCCCTTCGTGGTTTGGTTCAGATCATATCTGGAGGAAGGAAGAGAACCACAATCTTTTCCCTTCCTTCCCCTCCTTCCTCCCTTCTCCTTCCTCCCCTTCTTTCCTTCCTTCCTCCCCTTCTCCTTCCTTCTCCTTCCTTTTCTCCCTTCCCTTCCTTCCTCCCTTCCCTTCTTTCCTTCCTTCCTCCCCTTCTTCCTTTCCTTCCCTTCTCCTTCCTTCCCCTTCCTTCCTTCTCTCCCTTCCCCTCCTTCCTCCCTTCCCCTTCCTCCCTTTCCTTTCCTTCTCCTTCCTTCCCCTTCCTTCTCTCCCTTCCTCCCTTCCTCCCCTTCTTTCATTCCTTCTGCTCCCTTCCCTCCCTCCCTCCTCTTCCCTCCTTCCTTCCTTCCTTCCTTCCTCCTTCCTTCCTTCCTTCCTTCCTTCCTTCCCTTCCAAAAGGGTTATGGGTATGGTGCTGCAAGGGATAAAGATATACAGTATATGTGTTCAGCCATGTGGATCCTGACATTAAGCTGCTTTGAAGTAGATTTTTTTAGATGAGCATCTTCCCAGAAGGCTCTGGGTTTGCAACAGATGGGAGTTGTAGTCCTACGTATCCCACAAATCTCACATCCGGAAATAGTGCAGTATATTTCTCAACTTTCAATCATTATAAGCTAGTGGACTTCAAGTCCCAGAATTCCCAAGCCCACCTGCATGCATGCTGGATGGGGAATTCTGGGAGTTGAAGTCCACCCACCTTAATTGCACTGCATTGGTATCATTCATTCTCAAGGTCCCTTTGCATAAACAAATGTATGCTTCAATGGCTATTTTATATACTTAGTTGAATTATTGCTAAGCATTTTTTAAAAAAAAATCCTCACCAGAGTAATATTATGGGCTGGCTAATGTCTAAAAATAGTGATTTGCAAAATTTAAGATTGGTGGATTTCAACTCCCAGAATTCCCCAGCCAAGTGGCTGGGGAATTCTGGGACATTAGGTCTGCTACCTTAAATATACTCCTCCCTTTTAATAACCACACTGTTCCTTTGGGTGGCTTCCCCTTTAAATCTCCCACTCTTTATTGACAGCTGACAGTATTTCCTTCCGGGTCAAACTTCCTCCTCTTGACTCTCCCCCCTCCCTTTTTTTTCCTTTTTATTCAACCCCCGCCCCCCCGGCCTGTTGTGACGGCTTCTCCTTTAAGCAGCCCCCTCGACGCAATGCAGGGGAGGATGAACCAATGGGGGTACGCTCAGCGGGCCACGTGAGGGAGGCGGAGCTAAGGACAAAGAGCCCGGATGGAGAGCGGGAGGGGGGGGCGGCGCCAATGCAGCCGGGTTGCTCGCCCGGGACTCGTTGGCGGAGCGATTCGCTGGCGGCGGTGAGGCGGACGAGTAACGGTCCGCCGCCTGCCGTTGAGGGAGCGCCAGGGCGCATGCGCGGGGGAGGCGGCAGCGGCTCCTCGGCCCGCGGCGGAGGAAGACGGGCGGGACTCCAAAGCTGAGAGGACGCGGCGTTGCTCCCTTGCCCGGTCACCATGGTGAGAAGCGGGGGGGGGGCAATTTTTGAGGCCAGTGGGGGAAGCGGGGGCAACGCGAAGAAACCCTCCCGGGCTGTGTGTGATGCCCAGAAGGGGCGGGGCAGGAAAGGGGAGGGGCCGGATTTGGGGAGGGGACTGCTGAAGACCCTCTAGCCCACCCTCTGCCCCCCCCCCAGTCTGAGGGGTTTATCTTTAGACACCCCCCACCCTTTAGACAAGAGGGGCGTCGGGAAGCCCCCAGAGGGTCTTTGACCTGGGGGGGGAATAGAGCCCCGCCCTCTCTCTGAATTGGGGGGGGGCTGTGAGGAGAGGGGAGGTCAGCACCAGAGGAGGGAAGGGGGGGCGGAGCTATGCTAGGCCCCGCCCCTCTTGGGGGTTGGGGGGGCGCTGGAGGGGGCTAAGAAGGGAGGGAGGGTCCTTGCTTTGAGGCTGGGCCTTGACTAGAGGGGGGAGGGGGCTTCAGATGGACCCCACCCCACCCAATTCTACCCAGTTAGTGTTACCTTTAAATGCAAAAGTGGGAG